CTGACTACCCTATTGGTCCTTCCGTGGTACTGAAAAAGGTCGGTGACTGAGAAGACAATCCGACACGAAGCGGGACTGCTCCGCAGTTCTGGCGGACATCGAAGAAGGATGGTGACTTGCTTTGCATAGGAAGGGGAAGGAGCAGACGGGACATCTTCGACAGAAGAGCTGTTGCCACAGGAGAGAAACATGCTTGAAGAAGGTGTTTTTGGGGTGTATACAGGAAAATGCACCATTATTGGTGGTTGTGACCTCATACTGTACCTTTTGTGAGGTTTGAGCAGCGCCGCGCTTCAGATTCATCAGATGGTGACTAAGGACATTGGATATGTTCTTTCAACTTTGAGCCCACTTCAATGCCTGCTTTCATGCCAGAGGTTCACTTGGGGCCTGGAAGAGGCACGTTCGGTCCACCCTTAAAGGAGTGACATTGGTGTATTCACACCATTTCACACCACAAATTCCTTTGGCATTGGAAAACACAACCAAAAAGTATCACACCACCTTCCATGTCACCCTGCGGCCAGACCCATGGCTGGCCTCATCCCCGATATCCAAGATAGACCAGTTCACACAATGACACAGTTTGCCCTTCACCCTTCACCCTCACCCTTCACCCACGGATGTTATTTTTGAATTTCAATCATCCCCAGGCACAAACAGCAAACCCTTCTTCGCCCCGCCCAAAAGATCCTTTTTCGTCCCATCATGTTCTTCGGAGCCGAAGGTATGCTCCGGACGATGCCAAACATTGCTTCTTCCACACACGTGGGCACCTGGGACCGCAGGTCAGGCGGTGAACACTAGGTCCGTGGGTCTTTTTCGATGTGATTGATCTCCCACGGTAGACCCTTTTGGTGGAGGTAGGTGTGGGATGGTGTGGGAGTATGATGGAATATGTGGGTGTCATGGCGCAGTGTTGGCGTGATATGATGGAACAGGACTGATTCAATTGTGACAGGGTCATATTCCTAAATATATCCTGCTAATGCCTGGTGCATTATTACCCTCTACGTTGAGAAGGTGATCGAATCTGATAGAGCAAGCAAGTGCTTGAGGCTGCCAATCCCTGCGACTCTTTGAGGACCACCACATCGTTCAAACCTTGTATCTTGAAATGATCTCTCCATATCTTGAAATGATCGGTGGTCCTCATCGTATCTTGAAATGAGATATCTTGAAATGATCTCTCCATATCTCTCCCTCATCGAGTGGTCAATGTCTCAAGTGACCGAGGGACTTCAGTCAAGCGGCCATTTCTGGGGTCCTGGAGCCGGCAAGCTGGCTGGAAGATTCCGTTGATTTAAACACGTAGTATTTATTCCCTGGCAGTCCACTGGGATTAATATGGATTATGACATTAAGACATATTAAAACATAGAAAATCAATGTAAATCAAGGTTCTTTAGGTGATAAGAACCTTAAGAAGATACATGTCCTTTACTTCGGTGGTGCTAAATATGGTCGTCTTTGGACTTCCAGGCCATTCTTCCTATACTTTACCTTTGCTAAGCCGTTGCCACAACTTTGGCGTCCAACACCGCCCGGACCCCCCCCCGCTCCTCACCCCAAATCCCTCGGACCGGCCCTGATCGGCTGCGAGGTTTGAGATGTTCGAAGCAGCTCGGACCCATGGCATGGATCCTCAGTGGGAGTCGCACCAACCGTGTCCACCCACGGATGTGCGACCGACCATGTCCCACCATGGGGGGTCCGCCGATGGCCAATGGTCCACCGTGTCCGTCCCGTTGCGGAGGTTGGGAGCTGAACTCATGGGCTCCATCATGACCCCATGAATAGAATTAAAGAAGATCCATTTGGCAAAAGACCAAGTGCAGCCTTTTTGAGGTAGTGGAACCGTTCTGTTCTTTTCCCTCCTGATCACTCCAACTTTCCAAGATGTCACAGTGATGCACGAGGCTTGAAATTTCCTGTTTGCCACCGACCAGACCATGGCAAGACCGGTTTTGATGGTTTTTGAGGGTCACCCCTGCGACGCTGCCAGATTCTGAGTGCCATGGTCTCCTGGAAACGTTTTCATCCCTCCGATCTTTGCCTGGAATACGAGGTGGAAATGCAGACCTGGCCCGGATCTTCATGTCCTGCAACAAGGAGAGCCGAGAGCCGAACTCACACGTTGAAACTTGGTGACTATCCTGAGTCACAGAGTGGCTTCCCGAGCCATCTATTTTTAGATCGCAGGATGAGACAGCATTGGCCAAAACCTCGAGAATCAGAGGACGTGAGATATACAAAGAGCAGAGGAGTAGCTCGAGCGGTGGAACCTTACAAAGGTTCTACTTTATGTTCTATATGATACGTATTGATATGTGTTTCATTGGTTGCAGGTGGTTTTACGCGCTGCCTAGAATGCGTTCTTAGTATGTATGTCAATGTTGTCATTAGTATTTGTTTGGTGCTTAGTTCGACATTTTGCTGTCCCAACTCAACCCCTTTGCTTACAGGATCAGCGTTTAAATCATGCCCAAGATTTCCAAGATGGCAAAGAAGTGCCTTAAGAAGTTGAATCCGTTGATTCAACAAATCATAGAGTAAGGTAAGAGCACCGTGCGTTGATCTGCAGGAAGGAAAAGAAGCGTTGCATTCGTGATTTTGCCCCGGCGCCAGTCGCACCATCAGTATGCTCTCATCCCATGGTTGATATACCCAATGATTCGTTGTGGCCACGCCGTGTTTGTTTCTTCTCCTTTGTTCCAACCTGCACCCCCCCAAAAAATCCATTACACCATCGAAGTCGGTGAACGATCGCACATGACGTGGGACATCGCTCCGTGTCCATCACGTCGACGACGTCGTCGACGACTCGTTCTTCCTCGTTCGTCGACTCGATCACGTCGGCGACGTCGTCCAGGAGCCCTCGAAGATCATGCACATCGGCACCAATCCCTTGCCGGGCCTCCCGGGGTTTAATGATCAAATTAGAGTTGATGTAGATGCAATGCGAACCCCAAAAGGCCAGCAAATCCGAATCTGTGGTAAATCACCAAATCCAAGTGCCCAGGCATGATTCTGCCATTTGGATATCAAATACGATCGAAATACCTTCCTTGATGTAGAAACTTCAACCGACACAAACTGACCAAGCAGACCGATCCCACTTCAAAAACAATGCTAGATTGCTAATTCAACAAACCACTCGAAACTCTGTGGTTCGAGTTTCCAGGGCAAAGGCCAAAACGCAGCAAACATCAGGTGAACCACATGTGCAATACCCGCAGTCCCATTGCCTTCAAAGACATGGTTTGAGTCCTAACTCATCCACGCTTTGTTCCGGGATTCAAGCGGTGATCCCCACTGTTTACATCAGTGTCAGAAGATGTCAGAAGATGTCAGACATGTGACATGTGCGTTTATAGCTTGAACGTCTAGAACGTCCAGATGTGAATCTTGGAGTGTTTCCTTGAAACAAGGATCAGGTCCCCCCCAAAAAAAGAACAAACAACAGTGCTGCGGTTCATTGAAAAGAGATCTTGGACCCTCTTCTCCTAAGACAAAGACCCCACAAGTCATGAGCGTGATTCACAGGCAAATAGCGAAATGCATGCAGCTCATGATAGCTCATGATAGCTTGATGGAGCCATCCAACCCTGAGAGTACCACCCACAGAACCAGCTGAGTTCTGAGGTCTGCTCGGAACGCACGCACCAAGATCTCCTATTGAGATGCTTTGCTTGAGCTCCGCACGGACAGGCGTCAGGTCCCATTGGCGGATGAACTAGGCTTCTTTGTGCATAATTATATATACTCGAGATTTGTAACATATATTTGAACCACTTCTGAAGACAGGCCATGGAAGGTGGAATTCCACCATGTTCCACCTATCCACCTCAGCTGAGATGAGAGGACAACCATGTGAGGTGCCACATCCGTCATTCCGAATCGGCGCAAGACATCCGCTCTCCGACCATGAAAAGAAACAAAAGTCTTTTCGTTTCACATCCTTTGCTACTGAAACTTGAAAGTAGCAGAGCCAAGGAAAGGGCGCGGGTAACAGGAATGTGTGTTGGGACTGTTGTCGGACAACGGGTTTCTCCCAAAGCAACCGGACGTCCTTCCGAAGGTCCTCGTTGGCTTCTGAAATCTTGGAACTCGTTGGATAGTGCGGCATTATTCAAAGATCCCACAATCCCTCAAACCACAGGTGTTCAGTCACAAGCTCTTTGTGAAAATAACTTTTTGATGTCATTTGCTTTCACCAAGAAGTATATACCTATATACCTATGCGCACTCAAGACGACAGTTGTATGGGATTATGACTGTTTCCCCTTTGGATCTGATCTCCATCGGCCTACAGCCATCAACAGTCCTGCTTTGCCTGAAGGGCCCATTCGATCACGATAACTTGAACGGCCAGTCGATTTCCTTGTAAAGCCAGTCGTCAAGGTTTCAGCGCCTGCAGATGTTGAATCCACGCCGCAAATTCATCCGCTGAAATGCAAATCCCTTTGCCATCCTTTGCCAGATGGATGCTCTTTTTGTGAGGGGCTGTAAGGCCGTAGTAACAATGAACAGCGAATTCTTCTATGGGTGGTAGGGTGGGAACTGAGCTTTGCCATCATTTTTGGCTCAAGCTCTCATTTGGTACAGGTCGTGAGGTGGGCGATCCTGTGCAATGGAGGGGTTGGTTCCTGATCGTACCACGTTAGGTTAGACAGTTGGTGCTCCCTCCAGCAGGCTGCAGCATGAGGAGGGTATATAGATGAGGGGCTGACTCAAGCGGTGTGCAGACAACTTCATAAAACTAAGTTGACTGCACTACAGATCATTGCAGTCATTCCAATCGAAGTGTTTGAACAGGCACTAGCCAATGCCACTACGGCGCCTGTGGGCTTACTGCACGCAACAAATGCAGCTTGTACATGTGCAGGTGCCTGAAAAGCCAAGATGACAATAGTGATACGGGAAGAGTGCTGGAAAACACAAAGATTGGAGCCAGGCACTGTAGGGTACAACATGCTATTTTCATCCCGGGGTTTGCTATGGCACAGAGATCTTCTGCTTCATCTTTAGCTTACTGGGAAGAAGCTGAACTGCACTTGGCGTGGAAGCTGTTTGAAACACATTGGCGTACCTCTTTGTGCATGTGTTTGTATTTTGCCAACAAAAAGAAGGTCCAATTATTTGGAAGACTGGAAAAGTACCATCGGTGACTTCCTCCATTGATGTTTGATGTGTAGGGTGCGATGCGGTCAGATGCACACACGTACTGGTGAATGGTCAGAACCCGCTTGTTTTTTTCGAGTGACAAACACAATCCACTCACCAGAGCGTGGGGGAGTTGACATGTGTTTGTGTCATATCTCATGCCTCCAAAAGCGTTGATTCCTCATTTCCAGCCACATCATCCGTTGCGATTGGAGGACCCAAATCCAGCACGTCCCACAATGTTCACCGGCCAGCATCGTTGTCGCCACGACCGAGGAGTTCTATGCCGATCGCCCCAAGAGCTATGATACCCTCTATGGATATGAGGCAACACCAGCTATGTTTGCAAACCAAGCGATTGTTTCCCTAAAGCAAGCAATCAGAAGATCACTTGGTCATGAGTTGGAAGAGATCAGAGAGCATGATTCATTTCTTCAGAACTTTGATTTTCTGACCTGGTGGTGGTGTGGTGGTGTGTTGTTTATCCACTCTGTCCTGCCAGCTCCCCCCATCCCAGTTCTTGCAGGACTTACGCCCTCTCCTCATGGGTTTACTGCAGCTCCCACGAGCCCAGCGAGAAGCCTGTCGGGTGCTCCATGTAGGCGCGAGGTGGCGGCGCGAGAGTTGGCGTGGAGCACCTCGCTGGAGATCAACTGTGGCATCAGGTGACTGAAATGTCTCATCCTTTGACCCAGGAACCTCTCGAGCTTTCGACATGCCTTGACCCATTGGGTGACTGGATGGTGATGTTTGAGCCACAGGATCGGTAGATGAGCCAAAGCAACTTCGGTCTGGGGTTCCAAGCCCTAAGAGGAAGGTGTGGGGGTCTAAGGGTCATAGTCAAACTGTGACAGGTGCTTAGTGAGGAATGAGGGAATGGAGCTTAAGGAATCTCTATTTGGAGGTAATTCCCTCATTCCCTACGAGTCGCACCAGGCAGAACTTCTTGCTGATGCTCCTTGAAAGACAGAGTCGGCCCGTGGGGTCACCTCCACAGAGTTTGGACTTGCTGCAGATGGTTTCAGGTTTGGAGCGATATGGGTGCGGTGGGGAGGGCACCCTCAAGTGGCTTAAGGATCACCAGCAAGATTTTATGCAATTTTATGAACACGTTGAACACTTTAGGTGGTTTTGGCGTTCCAGGCTCATTTTAAGTGCATTCGTTTGAACCTCCATTGTGGGGAAGGTGGGGAAAGTAGTTTCTCGATTGCAGAGGCTGTGGCACCAGCAATGTCACAGAGGGTCTTTGGCGCGATGGCTTTCGCCACTTGGCCAAACGAGTCAACCGGTGAGCTGCACGTTTAGAACATATGATCAACTGACAAATTGTTTGACGATATGGCCCCGCCAAAAACACTGCTCAGCTGCTCTGTCAAAGGCTCCGTTAGGCTGCTCATAGGAAAGTGTTTGAGCTGCCGAAGCTTGAGAATGTTTGTTTCAATACATTCTTGGTAATTACTTCTTCTTCGTGCGGAGAAAACGACCCAATCACAGACACCAATTTGATGGTAAACACGCTTAACAAAAGGCCAAAACAATCCAAGCCATTGCACGCTTGTCTACACCTCATGATCTTATTCGATTTCACCTCAATCAACACCGCCCCAAGGTCAAATTCTCAACATTGACTTCAGCGAGGCAAGGGCCCGTCCCACTGGGAGAGGCTTTTACGGTATTCCTCGGTGTTCTTTGGTCGAATTTACTTCAGCCTCCGACGTGAGGGAGAGCTCAGCACGGTCGATTGATCGATTTACATATACCCTGGGAGTCAAAGGCTATAAAAGGATATAGAAAGAATGATCTTTGGGTGACCTGAAAAGGAACTTCCTTTGCTTCAGTCCGTCAAAATATGGTCTTTGGACTTTCAGATATATATAATACAATATTATATAGTGTATATACACCTGTAACACATGTAATTATACCCGATCCACGGATTTCAGATGATGTCGCCAACGAATCGGGACAAGTCTCTTGCTCGGTTTCTACTCAGTAGATTATCTTTATCGCAAGCGCGTTCCAGGTTGAATCTTAGATATACTTTTTCTAGCTTTTCAGCATTTGTCCCTTTCCAACCAGTCACCTTAACACTCCAAACACATCGGAGTTCCATTTGACCTCTCCTTTTGGGGTGCCGCCCCACGCCACCCCCCGTCCACGCTGCTAGGAAGTCGTGAAGCTCATGGCCGGGCGCTGGGACGAGCGAGCGGCGGGCAACTCGGCAGGCGCCGCGGAGGCAGCGGAGGAGGTCGAAATGGGCTCAACTTATACGACCCCGAACCCAATACCATCATCAATCATCATCATATATATATATACATATATGTTGTAATGTTCTTCAAGAAACATATAGAAGCATCGTAGGGAAACAATCATTAAGTAATTTGGCATGTCAACTCTCTCGAGGTCACTACAGAGACCCCTGGCTACACGGGTGCTGTTTCTTCGTATGCGCTTCTATGCTTCTGTGCGTAGAGGGCAGCATAGCCCCAAAGTCTACAAGATCTAGAACGCTGCCCAGAACGACCACGTGTGTGAAAGGTTCGTGGTAGGCCAAGACATGAACAAAGACACGCTTTAGAGGTGATCCAACCGATCAATATTGTGCAAAATATGACTGCTTTAGCACTACCTTCCAACTATTGACTTGTTTGAGCCTCTCAAGGAAATTATACAAGAGCGTGACATGGTTTTCTGGCCAAACAATGAAACTGACGCTCATTTTTCATGTGAAGGGCCTAAATTAGGGTCTTTTGTTTGAACCAAGGTGCTCCATCAGACCAGCGACCAACGTCAGGTGTTGCCTGGCAAAAGATGGACCTGACGGATCTGTCAGAGTGGGGGTCCCCGGACGGACGGAGATCACGAGAAGCTTCGGTGAATGGTTGAGTGGATATAGCTCACCAGCCTCACCAACCCTGGCCAAAAACGTTCATGATGCGTTCCATCCTACAAATCCGGGCCCTCAAATTGAAAGGGTTTTGAGGGAAGCCCCTGCTATGGAGGGTCCGACCCCTACTATGGAGGGTCTGAGGATTCTTAGGGCAGATGATATGAACGATTTGTTGGGTCCATAAGTCTCAGCTCCTGAGTTCCGCATGATCGTGGCGGAAGTCCTGAAAAATCTCCGGGCCATGGCTCCAGGATGGGCTCCTTATCGTTTCGATTTGGCCTTCGATTGGCCAAGCCAGGCTGATGAGGTAGCCATTTGCCGATGAGTCCCTCCACAGTGCTGCGAGGGGCAGGTTCTTTTCTGGGTGAAGCAACTACACGCGGCTTGTCGGAAGACGCATTGACATACATTGACTGTGGCGTGCTCATCCAGCACATGCAAAATGTAAGTTGGGCTTGGATCAAATCAGACTTCACATCCCTTACCCCAGTGAGACTCGTAGAAATTCCGTTCTCAGGCTATGTTCAGGGACCTTTGACTTGGTCCTGGAGAAGTTCACGCTGCTTCGTCAGCAGGAACTGTTCAGGAACTAATTACTCGACCTTAGACCTTGGGTTTCCATGCTTGGACCACAGGTGAAAGGTAGAAAAGCCATTGAAAGAACATCGAACACCATGGACATGTCAGGCAAAAGGAAGCCAAAGTCAGGTGCCATCCAAACACAGAAAACCTTGAAGACATCGTTCAAGGAACTGGTGGATCTCCACATGTTGGGCGCTTTCCTGAGCCAAGGCTGGATGCCATCCTTTGTGAGTCCAAGGAGATAAGTTCTGACGCAGTCGACTTGGTGCCGAGTTAGGTCCCATGGAATGTATACCAAGCCAAGCTGCCGCCACGCCTCTTGCAATGCACAAGTCGGCAAAAACCATTGATATATGAGACGAAGCACCAACAAAAGCACCCGAGGAAAACAAAAGAACGCAGCGCCGGCGTAAACGCAAAGCGCCAACACTGCATCGTGGGATCCAGGTACCCGAAAAAGTATGAAAAATTGCGCGGTTAGTAAAGATCGTCAGGATGATCAAGTTTAACTGCAAATCCATCATCAGTGACAAAGTCGCTCATGCGTCGACGCAAGAAGGGCAGCGACGAGACAGAACATCTAGAAAAGCAAAAACCCTACAAATATAAGCTTGGCTTGCCCCTCGATGAAAACGTTATGTTACGACCTGATCTTGCTCAGGAGACGCACCTTGGGATGTGCCTGGTGCTACCGGCTGCGCAACAACCGACTGAGTGACAACACCGAACTCGGAAAAAAGAACTACTGCCTCCAATTGCAAACTGTCGTCATCAATCAAGCAATTTGCTCACAATTTGAGGTGTCACAGGTTGCGCCGTAGCCGTGACAGTTCGAAGCTCTAGCTCCAAGGTCTTCCGCTGCCAAAAACAAAGATCACCTCTAGGCGCGTCGCGCTTCGTCGTCC